GTGACGTAGAGCCGTAACAGAATAAGATTCGAATTCCTGACGACTCGTTTAGACGATTGCAAGCCGACTCTTTTTTTTGATAGACAATAACTTTATTTATCATGCACTGTCGGCTTCACAACTTTGCAGATAGTTTATGTTACAGCTACATGACACACTGCATGAAAGGCAATATTCGAAAAGGCATAATAGGGGCACTTTAAGATATTTTGCTTTTTTTTCAATAAAATTAAGCATATTATTATTATTAAGGATTATATGTAGAAATGTATGGCAACTTATTTCCACTGAATAAAAAACTCAAAAAGGTAATTGCAACTTTTTAATCTCACAATTCTGAGTCTGACTTTCTGAGCATTACGAGATATAAACAGAAATTGTAAGAAAAGTCTGAATTGAGAGACATAATTGCGAGAAAAAGTGACTTCTCACAATTTCGAGTTTATAGCTCATAATTTAACATCTCACAAGTCAGAATTTTTTTCTCAGAATTGCACATTTATATCCATATATAATTGCTGTGTAGTTTTGTCACACAAGCTTGATGCTATTATTATTTTTTTGGATAAAAAATTTGTTTTTTTATTTAGATATCATTAATAATAATTATTATTATTATTAATTGCTACATAAAAATATTAAACAAATATTAAACACCGAAACATAAGCTGCTTGAGTATAAAAGAACACGATGCCATATTCTGAAAAACGCAACATATACTAATTTAAATAAATATCGCAGACTTTGCAATTTGATAACTGCACTAAGCTTTATTGTGATTTCGGGTTTTATTTCGATTGATCACATAGCCCTAGATTTGCATGCTATCTTTCTCAGCAACAAACAAAATGAATACAAACCAAACTCTGCCATCAATATTCGCAATTAAAACGCAACTGTGATCAATACCAAATAAATTCCAACATGATTCGTTTCTTTAATTTGTAAAGTGAGACTTTAAAAAAATCCCACGGCTAATTACAACATTGCAGTGGTGTTCATATGCATGAAAACACGTTTTCCACTCACTCGTCTCCGACTCTCTAAACGTGTACTGGCTGCTCGACGAGCTTCCGAGATCCTCGAGCTCCTCACTTCCTGCTTCCTCCGCCTCCTTAGCAACAGGCTCCTCCCACGAGTCAGTCTCCGCCTCCCGAGAGTCCGCCAGCATGATGATGTCAGAGTTCTCACTGGAGGAGCAAAGGATCACATGTTCTTCTCCACCCGCCTGCAAGAACACATCAATGCCACTTCTTTAAGCCAGATTACTGGAGAAATCCTCTCTGCAGAACAATAACACATGCCAGGAGGTCATTTTCAGGTTTAATCGCACCTCTCGGGCCGGTTCCGCCTCCGCCGCCACCTCATCTCTCAGTGTGAGATCTAGTGAGGACTCTCCCAAACTCTCCTCACCCCACTTGGCTGAAAAAACAAGCTCAAATATTTCAAACTTGTTTGACCACTTCTGGATTTACACATTACATTCATCCTTTTGCGTTTGTGTGCTGACACACGTGATTAACCACACACTAATACTGCATTCTACCTGAGTGGTAATCATTAAATTCATGCCACAAAACCTGACCTCTAAAACAACATAAATAGCTTTGTCTTTATTCATTTTGAATGACATCCTCACCATCAGGTACGTCTGGAGCACGGCTAACCGCTCCATCCTCACACTCTCCGGCGTTATCCGGCCCCAGTGTCTCAATATCCGAACCCTGTGACACACACACACACACACACACACACACTATGGCTTATCTTTAGAAGTGTTAAGCTTTTGAAAGTAAGTTTTTGCTTAATAAACAGTATAAAAATCAGCTTTATTGGTTTTTGAGCATTGATGAAAAAAGTAGCAGTGATATTAAAGTCAAAAATGTAATTTTTATGTTTATATTTATTGTTTTATATTTCTATACAGTGTGTGTGTTGATAGATAGATAGATAGATAGATAGATAGATAGTTTATAATGTACACATATATATATATACAGGTGCATCTCGATAAATTAGAATGTCGTGGAAAAGTTTCAGTTTCATTTATTTCAGTAATTCAACTCAAATTGTGAAACTCACTCATTAAATAAATTCAATGCACACAGACTGAAGTAGTTTAAGTCTTTGGTTATTTTAAT